ACATCCAAATACTTAAATTCCTTCCTTTTTGTACCTTCTCCCACCACACACTCACTTCTTGTTGTTATTGTTATGTGCCATTGAGTCGGACCTGACTTGTAGCCAACCCTCCTTGGGTTTCCAAGGTGATATCACTATGGAAGGAGATTGCACAACTCTTTCTGTAATCCACAAAAGCACATCATGCCATTATCTCATTAATCAAGGACTGATCCTTCTCTTTTAGTGTTTCCCACAAGGACACACAGTCTTTTCTTAACACTAGATATTTTGGATATGACTAAATCAGCCATACGCTTCAAACATATCTGCAAAGAATGTGGAGGTTAACAACACAGCTCACTTTATGGGTATGCTATCCATATAGGCCTATAGTCTTGTTCTATGGTTCACAATTACTGTGTAGTATTCCATGGTATGGATGTACTACAGTTAGTTTATTTATTCTTTGAGGGATGTTTGGATAGTTTCTGATTTTGGGTTACTATGAATATAAAGCTGCTAGGAGCTATACATATGAATACAATTTCTTGAGTGAAAGTCTTCAATTCTTTGGGATAAATGTCCAAGAGTGAGATTGCTAGGTTGTCTCTGGTGGCGTAGTGCCCAAGGCATCTGACTGCTAACCAGAAGGCTGGTGGTTCAAACCGACAAGCCACTCCTCGGAAGGAAGACTGGGCAATCTACTTCTGTAGTGATACCGCCTCAGAAACCTAAGGTGGGGTTGCTAGTCGGATCCAACTTGGTGGCAGTGAGTCTGCTTTTTTTTTTTTTTTTTTTTGGTTTATAGCGAAACTATTATTAGTTTTGAAAGAAATAGCCAAACTGCTTTCCAGAGTCAGGTTATTTATTTTTGGAATTTAATTATCACTCAGTCCCTCAAGAGATATCTATATTTACCTAGCCTTGAGGTGCACTGGGTGGCACAAAACATTAAACACTCAACTACTGGCCAAAAGGTTGGTGGTTCAAACCTACCCGGAGGTGCCTTAGAAGCCAGACCTGGTGATCTCCTCAAAGGTCACAGGGTTGCAAACCTTATGGGTAGAACAGCTCTGCTCTGCAGCCGTGGGGTTGCCATGAGTCGGAATCAACTGATGGAAACAAACAATCCCACCACCACCTCTCCTCAACTAGGAAACTGTCTATCTCAGAGGTCTGTCAACTCAGACCCACTTCAACCACTTATCAGCTGGATGGCCTTGGTCAGTAAAACTCTTTTGGGTCTCAGATTCCCTATTTGTAAAATAGAGATAATAAGGCCCTGGACAGTAAAGATTTAACAAGAACAACATGTGAAACACTGAGAGTAGTAGAGTGTCTGGCACACAGTAGTGAGTTCATGCTAGCTCTCTACACACCCATGGCAAAATAATGACCAAATGTTTCTCTCAATTTGTATGGTATTTGAAATCTTAACTGACTTTAAAACTCCAAAAAAAAAAAAAAAAAAAAAACATACTACTAGCTCCTTTTTCACATATTCTTCCTTTACTTTAATTTTAAATAAATTATCTTTTGTAAACTAAACCAAAAGCCAAACTTACTGCTGTCGAGTCGGATCTGACTCATAGCAAACCCTCCTTGGGTTTCCGAGGTGGTATCACTGCGGAACTAGACTGCCCAATCTTCCTAGGGCACTGCCTAAGGCATTTAACTGCTAACCAGAAGGCTGGTGGTTTGTAAACTAGTTATGCATATTTTTTCCTTGACAAAACCATCTTGTTTCTACCTATCAGTTAAATTTGCTTAAGCAATCCTTATCACTATTGGAAGCAGAAAGGAGTTGGAGTCTCCATATTTATATACCTTTGGTTTGCCTCTCTTTCCAGGTCAGTGAACAATTTCCTGATGACTGGTCCAAAGGTAAGGGAAAAAAAATTATTTGATTCCTTTGGATTTCACTAATTTTAGCTTGTTGACTGAAAACTCCACATTTCTTTTCATTATATCCATCCTTTATTATGCTGTGTAACTGTGGAACAGAGAGGGTAAGTGACATACCCAAAACCACTTAGTAAACTAGGGTCAACGCCAAGACAATAACTAAGAAGTACTGAATCTGAATACGTGGCTGGAATTTCCAGAGCCAGAAAAGTCACCAGTCTTTCATGAGTGCCAGACTGCAAAGCCACACATCCTGTTGGAGTGCCAAGGTCCTTTCCGACTCCCCAATGTTATAGAGGAATGAGAACAGCTGAAATTCCATGAATTATGTGATTGGAGTTTCTTTTGGAAAGGCAGTATAGTGTAGTGAGTAAGGACACGGACTCTAGTGTCTGAGAAAGTTGAGTTTCATTCGTAGTTCATACCTTTTGCTAGCTGTGAGACCTTAGGCAAATTACTTCATCTTTCTGAGCCTCATTATAAAATATAACCTATTTCACAGGGTTGTTGTGGTGTTAAATGAGATGGCATATTTAAACTGTTTACTCTGTCATTATTTGGGAAGAGTGGCCACAGAGGGAGTGTTTGGTCACTTTAGAGCAAACATCTCCCGAGTTCAGCAGCTGCCAGTCTGAATTCTGACCCCTGTGTTGCTGCAGGCTTACTTGATCTACTCTAGCAGCGTAGCAGCTGGTGCCCAGAGTGGTATTGAAGAATGCAAATACCAGTTTGCCTGGGACCGATGGAACTGTCCTGAGAGAGCTCTGCAGCTGTCCAGCCATGGTGGGCTTCGCAGTGGTAAGGAAAGCCTCGGCCACAGATCCCTGGACCCCCTGGCCACAGGTTAGAGCCCCACTCTCCAGGGACGGCGCCCGTGCTTCCTCTACACCCTAATTCTTCACCTAGTCTCATCTCTCAGGTCAACTCTATCCTTGGTACTTTCTCCAGCTCCTTTTTCCTGCCTATTTTTTTTCTTTGTTCCCCAATATCTTCCCTGCTCAATGAATGGACCTTGTCTCACCCCTACGTCTATACCACCCTTGGCCTCCCACTTGGCTAACAGGTTTCCTCATAATATGCATAACATGAAAAGGTAGGTGTGGGTCATCATTCCTTATGCTCTTAGCCCCTTTCACCACTCCAGCAGCTCAGCAGAGAGGTACTGGGTCAATGGGCACTGACTTGAAGACCAGATTTCCACGAACAAGATAAAGAGTGGCCATGGCAGTAAATGAAAAGGCCACCTCTCAGAGGTTCTTTTTAAGACTAAGTGGGACATGCCTTTTACATGCCAGTATTCCTGGGGAAACCAAGAAATAGGTTCTATACAACCTGACCCTCAGATTCACCTCCTTCCCTACTTCTTCCTCAGGCTCTCTCCCACTTACACCTTTTACAACCAGGTATGTCAACAAGAATCCAGCCACCTAGTCATAAAATGTATGACTTGAAAGGATGGGAGGGGAGAAGAGTAGGGTTGAGGCAGGGCTGGAGGAAATCCTGGAAGAAGAACGCTACAAAGATGGGGAAATCGGTTGGAGCTGAGAAGGGAGAGTTTAATGATTGTATTAGAAGGTTAACAGGACTGCAAATTCCTTGGGCTGCAATTCCTCCCTCTAATGCCCCCAATTTTGGGTTCCCGCCAGCTAATCGGGAGACGGCGTTTGTACATGCCATCAGTTCCGCCGGGGTCATGTACACCCTGACTAGAAACTGCAGCCTTGGGGATTTTGACAACTGTGGCTGTGACGACTCCCGCAATGGGCAACTGGGTGAGTAGTGATACTGGGGTGGGCAGGGCAGGCCAGTTTACTTACAGAATGAAAAGCTTGGTGGGTAGTTCGTGGGTGAAGAATAAAAAAGTCTGTATTTTCCTAAATCTCAGGAAAATCACACTGAAGATGAGTTGATGAGTTTGAACTGAAACTCTCCAGTGAGGCTAAACATAACTCGGGAACCTCATTCTCTCGCTGAGTAGCTTTTCTAATTTAACAAAATAAGAGTAAAGGAACACCACTCCCTGCTCATTCGATCCTCTCTGCGTTCGCTCAAACATAGAGGGGATTTCCCTGCAGGGCGCTTACCTCTGTTTCCTTTCCACTCTCTACTTCCACTGCCCTCTCTCTAGTCCTCTGTGTTCTTCTGTTCAATTTTTAACTTCCTTGTTCCGTACTATTTCAATTGCAACCTTCTCTTCCCCCTCAGTGCTGGCGCTTCGCTCACCTTTTGCGCGCCATTTTGTTCCTTCCGGACTTCAATTGCCCGCCGGGCACGTGCACACCCTGGCCAATAGCCAGAGACACCGAAAACTGCGGCGCGCTGGCATAGAATCCACTCGGCAACTACTTACGTCAGGGAGCTAATGAGTAGGGGATTGGCTGAGACTAGGAGCGGGCGCGCAAAGGTGCAAAAAGACGATCTTCTAGGCTCAAACTAAACCGGATACAGGGCACTTACCCAATCTTAATCCACCCCATCCTGGCTACCCAGAACCCAATTTAAAACGGTAGCCTAGGAAGCTCCCCTCCCCTCCCCCCACCGCCAGCTCTGCGCCCACCTGTTCAGTGACCTTTGCTCCCCTGCGCTTTTCCAGGGGGCCAAGGTTGGCTGTGGGGAGGCTGCAGTGACAATGTAGGCTTCGGAGAGGCAATTTCCAAGCAATTCGTCGATGCCCTGGAGACAGGACAGGATGCCCGGGCAGCGATGAACCTGCACAACAATGAAGCTGGACGCAAGGTGAGCCCCGCAGCCCCAGGAATTGGGCTGCACGCTCCATCCACTAATAGCTCTCCAGCGCATCTAACAGATTGGGAAAACGAGGTGCCAAGCGGGCTGGCCACGTGTGCTAGTAGACGTCTTGCAGCCGCTCCGAGACAGCGGCCAGCTAGCTCTTCACTCTCTCCCCAGGCGGTGAAGGGCACCATGAAACGCACGTGTAAGTGCCACGGCGTGTCTGGTAGCTGCACCACGCAGACCTGCTGGCTGCAGCTGCCCGAGTTCCGCGAGGTGGGCGCGCACCTGAAGGAGAAGTACCACGCGGCGCTCAAGGTGGACCTGCTGCAGGGTGCTGGCAACAGCGCGGCTGGCCGCGGTGCCATCGCCGACACCTTCCGTGCCATCTCCACCCGGGAGTTAGTGCACCTGGAGGACTCCCCGGACTACTGCTTGGAGAACAAAACGCTAGGACTGCTGGGCACAGAAGGCCGGGAGTGCCTGCGGCGCGGTCGGGCCCTGGGCCGCTGGGAGCGCCGCAGCTGCCGCCGGCTCTGCGGGGACTGCGGGCTGGCGGTGGAGGAGCGCCGCGCCGAGACCGTGTCCAGCTGCAACTGCAAGTTCCACTGGTGCTGTGCCGTACGCTGCGAGCAATGCCGCCGGCGGGTCACCAAATACTTTTGTAGCCGCGCGGAGCGGCCGCGGCGGGGCACTGCGCACAAGCCCGGGAGCAAACCCTAAGGGGCTCCTCTCCCCGCTCCTCTCCCTATTTGTCCTTGGCTTCTTTTAGGGATGCCAGTGTAGAGGAACCTAGGGAATGGGCACCCGCACTCCCAAACCCAGGGATCCTTAGAGGGGGAAGTTCCGCTTTGCAAGCTCTTGGGAGCTTACCACTTTCAAACCTGTTGTCCTCTGCGGGCCCCTGTAGCTCTGTTCTCACAGCCCACTTGAGATCTGGGCACTCTCTCCTCCAAGATTTTGAGCTATGGATCTTCCTTGCACCAGGTGAGATAGGCGTTCCTTCACCGCTTCCTAGCTGCCTTAACACCTGATCTGGCCTATCAAGCCTCAGGAATTAGAAGACACTTCGCAGATATGCAGGGCCCAGGGAAAGCCATGACTTTTCTCCTTCACCCATTGTCTTGCTGGGCATCTACCCCTTTTCTGCTGCTGGGTCCCTACCATAGCTTCATCTTCCTTCTGCAGAGCCCATACTGGGCTTCAATTCCCTGCCTGTCGACAGACTCCCCCAGAATTTCTGAATGCTCTCTCTCCCTTTCTCCTTTATTCCATGAAGAACCTCCAGGAAACAGCATTTCTTTGGGGGCTGGCTCCTAGTGGCAGAGGTTGAAGATGGAGGAAGGGGGAACTCTAGGGTCCTGAGCTGCTGAAACCTAAGGTGTCACTCATTCTCGTGATACCCTCTCTGACCACTCTTCAATGGACTTTACCAATTGGGCAAAGACCTTCCCAGACAATCACTCAAGGTACCCCAGACACGTACACAGAACGTCTAGCAACTCTGTAAAAGCCGGTTAGTGGTCATAATCTTTCACTCTTTTATGAGACCATTCCCTTGCCCCTAACATATTTCCTCTTAGCAACCAACTTTACTTCTTGTTCCCCAAAGGATCCTTGTTCCTCTAAGCCAAGGCTGAACTAAATAAAGCCAATTTCCTATTCAGAGCCTGGTCTGCACTTCTAAAGGAAGGTCAGAAGGAAGGAGAAACTGGGACCCTTCCTTTTCACTAAACTGGTTTTCAAACATAGGATGCAGAGCACTGAATACTTTTCTCCAATAAGTAAACCTCCTGCAGTGAAACTTGCTAGAAGGAAGTTTGGCACCTTGAACTTTAATTTATTGCAGTCACTGTGATGTGTGCCTGCTTTCCTAGGTACTGGGATTTGGGGGCAGGGCCTGCAGCTAGCCCTCTCCAGCCTCCCACCTTGCCCAGATACCATCCTTCCTACAGTGTCGCTTCCCTCATGGTCTAAGTAGTTATCCTGACTTGATTGAGGCTGAATCTACTACTATTACATCCACATAAATCTTTCCCTGAGAGATGTACTCAGTAGCTAAGAGACTGCTGCTCTGCTGATTCTGTGGTTCTAGTCTCAGACAAACGCAGTACAGCAGGGACTTGTTTATCAGTCCGGCGCTGGGGAAGGAGGAGCCAGTTCCTGACAGATCCTCCGCAGCCCAGGGAGCTTCCCAGCCAACTCCCTTCCCCTGTGTCAGCCCAGGGTCCCCTACATCAGACCCCCGGAAGCTCTTCCAGAGTGGAACTAGTCAGATGCTAGACAATGCCATCCCATTTTATCCAGAGTAAGGGCAGGTGCAGAGGCGGTGTGGCTCCAAGTTGGTACCAAGGGCTGAGGCTCTAAGGGCTGACCTGTAAAAAATGGAAGGGCTCCCATATCCCAAACTGAGACAACAGCCAGGTCAGACTCCAAACCCCCAGCCCCAGCCCTACCCATCTTCTGATCCTATGAACACTTATTGACGAGACACGTTTCCCTTTCTTCCCTTCAGGGTCTCCTGGTGCTTCAATGCCAGCTTTCTCAGCAACAGCCCTTTGCTCTTTCCCTTAGCTGTTATCTGGGCCTCCTGAATGCCTCAACTTGCCCTTCTTGCCCAATCAAGCAGCAGCATACACTAACCTGGCTGTCCTACTTGGCAGAAGTACTTGATAATGTACAGGAAGAAAGTCTGGCAGGGCAGTTAGAAAATACGAGAGTTCCCGTATTGTAAGCAGAGCTGCATTCTCCAGGACACTCAGCATAAAAGCAGGTCAGTAATTGTGCTTCGTTTTGATAACCCCAGGCCAGTATTCTAAACATGTCATGCTGCCAGACAGTTCTCTAATAGCCTTTGGTTTTGTATCCCAAAATAGATGCCTGACACCAGAGTCACTGAGTTCCATAAAGAAAACGTTACTGAGCTACATTAGATCTGTATTGTATTTTTTCTCCTCTTGCGTTATCTGTTTATTCCTGTGTTCATTCAACAAACACCAGAGTGGAATAGAGTGTTGAACAGCACACGGACACAGCCCCTACCTCTATGAAGACCAGGCTGTGGTCTACACGAGTTGCTGGGGCTCAGCGTTCCCCTTCACAAATGTGGACAACTCCAGAACTGTTGCCTGAAGACACTCCTGAGGTCAGCTAGTCGAACCTTTTGTTTTACAGATTTAAATCGATACTGAGAAAGAGGATTGACTTGTCCCATCAACTAGTAATTACTGTGGGGTGAGTACTGGAACCCAGGCCCCTTCCCTCCTCTTGTGTGCTCTCTTGGAGCCTATCTGTCTCAGCTAGAGGACAGAGGCAGAGGGAGGTCCTGAGAAGTGACAAGGATACTGGTTGGGGTGGGCAAAACACTGTCTCTCCTCCTGTCCCTGGCCTGTGAGCTTACACACAGGCAAGGCGTTCTTTTCTTGAAAAGAATCCCAGCCTTCACTGGCCTTAGCAGCAGGTTAGGGCAAAGACAGAGACAGGGTCATCCTCAGCGCTGGTGGTGCTGGCGGTGGTAGGAGGGGAGGGCAGGCCAGGGCACTTGCCTATTGTGGATCTGGATTGGATGCTTCCACTCATTCATTTCCTTTTAATTAACCCGCATTCCTGGAGGAGAAATATTTATGTTGGCTCCCATAGAGGCAATCCTCAGACTGGAAAGAAGGGGAAGAAAGCCTGTCTTAGCAAAACAATATCTCTAAAGAGCTCAAGAAGAGAAAATAAGGGAACAAAATGCCATGAAAATAGCCTTCTACCCCCACTGGAGTCAATGAAAACTTCATTTCACATGCTAATCCCCCCACTCCGCCCCCTCGTCTTCTCACAACACCTTTTCCGAAAGTGTTTGGGAAAAGTCTCTGCAGTCAGTACACAGCTCCCTGCAGCTCAGACTTCTCCTTGTGTTAGTTCAGGGCCCCAAGTGGGGCTCTCGCTCCAGCAGCGGCTTTTTTCTCCCCCCCTTTAATTTAAACAAAGACTTCGGAGTTCATCAACCTCCCACTGAAATTCACAGCTGCTGAACAAACTAATCCCCTCTCGCGGGCTTTCTTCCCTTCAATGGGTTCTTGGCTTCAAAGACACTTTGGGAAAGGACTTTGCTGGGGCTCACACTGCTTTATCAATAGAAGTTAGTGCAAGCATTATCTGAAGAGCAAGTGGCTTTACAAACAAATACTGCCTAACAACCCCTCCCTCCCAAACATACACATCCAGCCCGCAGACATGATGGGATCTACAACAGGATTAGGGCGAGCACCCCCTGGCTTCACACTCAGTCCCTTTGTGCGGCTGAGCTCAGCCCTGAAGTGGTGTGGGGAAAACCCTGGAGCTGAATGTCAGGCACGGACTGACGGGAGGGCGGACACACACACACACACACACACACACAACAGAATGGCCCCAAATGCTCCACGGAGAGATTTGTGGCCCAATTCACTTAAACAGGACTCTCTTGACTCCCTTTCTCTCCCCAGAACTCTCCCCTGAATTATTAGGGTACAGGGAACAGGAAAAAAGAGGACTAGAAAGACAGGTAATAGTGAAACAGGACCCAGAAGAGACAACAATTGGGAGATGACTGTGGAAACCAAATCAAAGCACCTTTATTGCACTAGTAAGTACATCAGTGCATCCAATGCAGAGTCCACCCACAAAAAGCACAGCCAAAGAAGGGAGCCCTGAGATACATGGTGGCTGAGGGGGAGAACGGGCCCCCAACCCTTGAGGAGCAGTGTTGAAAAAGTCTTTTGTTAATATGGCACCTATTCCAGAATCAGGCTTATAGTGAAAGAATGAATGGTCTAGGGCCTTGGGTCTGGGCCCAAATACAGGTGGAATCAGGGCTGTTCCTTGTAGGCTGTGCTCCCTCTGCTCCCATCTCATAGCCTAAGACAGCTCCCAGCAAAAGACACCCCTTACACCTTCTCCCTTCCACATGACCTAGCCTACCCTTAGAATGCTGCCAGAAGAGCAGTTCCAATGAAAAGAGTTCCCTCTCTCAGTTCTGCTCAGCATGATTTCATGTTCCTTGTATCCATGACTTATACAAATAAGTCAACTCCAAGCCCCTAGGGTTTCAGAGAAACATGGGCCTGGAAATAGGAAGTCAGAGGCAGGGAGAGGGGAAGATCAGGCTTACAATCCCAGAAGCGTGAAAACAAAAGACCCATAAGGTGGGTACAGCAGAGGTAGACTTAGAACTGATAATTCTGTTCACTCTCTCATGAGCCACTTAAACAGGATAACCCTCGTGGTCCTGTCAGAGTATGGCATTAGAGAAAGTGAAGAACTAGCCCTAGACCCTGCCTCTGGGGCTGAGAGAGGCTTGGACAGGTCCTAGAAGGCCAGGTATAAAGGGGTCTAAGGCAGGCACTGGGAGCTCTGGTAGCATAGTGGCTAAGACACTTGCCTGCTAACCAGACGGCTGGCAGTTCAAACCCACCAGCCACTCCTCGGAAGGAAGGTTGAGCAATCCTACTTCCATAGTGATACTGCCTCGGAAACCCAAGGAGGGGTCGCTATGAGTCGGGGCCGACTCAACGGCACATAACAACAACAACAACAAGGCAGGCACTCAGCTGGTTTGGAGCCAAGCCTATATCATCACATACCTGGCAGCAAGAGAAGAGGGTTGGGAAAAGCAAACCAGAATCTGCTCCTAAATTCTCCTTTTCTTAAGGGAAGAGTTAAACAACAGCAGACACGGCCTCCTGGCAGGAGCGGTTGCCTGGCTTAGCTCTGCAGCTTCTGAGCAATGGTGAGGACAGCCTTCAGGATGGGCATAAAGCTGGACACCTCACTGAAGCTGCTGCAGCTCACCACCTGGGCATGCACTGCGAGGCCCTGCTCAAAGCTCCCCACATCCACACACCGGGCCACCTCGTGGAGCCCAGCCACAACCTGAGGCGAGAGCTGTGGAGGAAATGACACAGGTTAGTAAGAGCAACTCAGCCCCCACTCTGGCAGAATGGAAGGGACAGGAGGGGGCCCAAGTTCTGTAGCCTAGTCTAGGCAAGATGTATTCTAAGGGGAAGCCACGTCAGTGAGACCTGTGGGAAGACACTGGGTGCCCTTTGGCAAGAGGCAGAGTACACAATGGTACACTTACCATCCCTTCCCAGAGCTTCTCATATAGACATTCTAGACGTTGGGCTGCCTCATCCAGCTTCCGTTTTGTCTTCTGCAGGGAAGGAAATTAATTGATTTTGACCCCAGCCCCTAAGCCTAACACTACACAGGACTATAAAGAATCACAGGATATTAGAACTAGAAAGGCTTAATGCTATCTCCTTAATTTCACAGAGGAGGACATAGAGGTCCAAAGAGGGTTAGTGACATGTCAAGCTGACGGAGCTAGTGACTGAATGGCAGGCTCCCTGATTCCTGGTTTAGCTTCCTTCTAGTACTCCCTGCTACCTTCCCAAGGGTTAAATCTTGATACTGTTGGGTTCTGCTTCCACAGAACTAGACTTCAGACCAAACTCCACATCCCTCCTCTACTCCTCATGGACATCAAATCAAGTATAAAATACAGACAGGGAAGGTCCAGAGGCAGTGAGAAGAGTCACCCGAGAAACAGTTCTACAACTGAGGGGGTCCTGGAACCAGCCAGGGGTGTGAGGAGGGCACTGTGGGTAGGTTGAGGCTTACTGAGTCGGTGGCAGACAGGGAACAGCGCTGTAGAAGTGCATCAAAGCTGGTCTTCAAGGACTGATGCTCTGGGGGCAACTCTTTCCTTTCCATCTTCTCAGGTGGCAGCTGCTGAAGTTGTTGATAAAGGAACGGGCAGATAGGACAGACAGGCAAGCTGTCCTTCTGGCATCCTTAAGGACTAGCCTTCAGTGACTCATGAGTCACACTACTCTCTCTAGAGCAGAGCTGGGGAGAAGGGGCACCCTACTCATCTTTGCAGTAAAGACCCCTGCCCCAACCCCCATCTCTTGCAGCTCAGACCACCTCCACCTCGAGGAATGAGGCCCATTATGCCATACTGCCTGCTTTTCTATACCCAGAGAGAGCTGGAAAGTTTCCCAGGGGGAAGGGAGGCACACTGTCCCTGTCACCTGCAGGCTGAGCTCTCCTGGAGCCCCGGGGGGTGCACGACCCAAACCAGCGACAGGAGGCTGTGGGGAAAGGCTCCCTCGTGACTCAGGGGTGAAGCTCCTAACTGGAGCAGTAATTGGCGCTGGGGGCACGAATGTCTCCGGCAGCTGAAGAGACAGAAAGAAAGGAACATGAGTCTATGCTGAAGAGACTCTTAGGGTCCTGGTTTTGGGGGCTGGCAGATGTTTTGCATGATAGAGGGGATAAAGTAATGAGGGGGAACTGGGAAGTGGGAGGACTTCCCAGTAAGTAAGAAAGAGAGAAAAGAGTGAGTGGGTAAAGAGAAGACAGAATAGATGCCTGAAAATGAGAAGGACTGGGCTGAATTCTGTAAGGAACTAGAATGCAGTCTACTGGTGAATGTATGTGTGGTGGCAGTGGTGGGCAGGGGGCAGGGAGGGAAGGTAGAGAAGATGCATTGACCTTTTTTCTCTGAAGGTTCCCCCTGGGAGCTGACATATTCTTTGAGGAATTTTGAGACTCTGTATAGTAAAAAAGATCGAAGTATTCATGAGCATGTCAAGAACATTGGAAATTTCTAGCCTGTATTACTCTAGTTGGAGCCTACCATTCCTCTCTCTACAGACCAGCCACCCTCGCACTTGATATTCTCTACCCAAGGAGCTCAGTTCACTGCCTTGAGGAGAGAGACTTCCAAGGTGGTAGTGGGGAAAGAGAGGGAGACAATGACTCAGAAGAGAGAAGCCACTAAAGGAAGACTAACCTGGGTGAAGAATTGAGATGCCAGGAGTTGGAAGGGTGCTAAAGCATGGAGCACCTGGCCCTCCTGGAGGGTGTGCCACAAGAAAGGTCGCAGGAGGGGCTGAGGGCTGGTAGCTCAGAGTGCTAGGACCTGGTGGTCTCACAGGGAGCAGTCGAGGAGTCTCGGGCAGGGAGGTAGAGCCAGGCTGCATGATGCCTGGGGGTGCCATAGGTGGAGGGGGACCAGGAAGAGGCCACATTCCAGGGATTCCCACAGGGTTAGGAGCTTGGGTCCTTTGCCCTCCTAAGTGCTGCAGCTGAGATACAGCTGAAGGGGAAGAGAAATAGGTCATATGCCACTCACCTGCAAACTGGGAGAGACTCAGTGCATCACGGAGAACAAGGCAGCAATAATAATTAACTAGTTAATCCATGTGTACAGAGATCTACCATTGACAAAATACTTTTAACTGGCACTGAGTCCCCCCCCCCCAAAATTCCTATTTGACTCTCAAAACAATCCTGTGGGGTTGAAATGACAAACAGAATAATTACCCTCATTTTACAAAAGAAACAGAGTGGCTAAGTATATTGCCCATGGATACAAAACCAGTAAGTGACAGTACTGAGAATTTAAACTTCAATTTCCAAGCTCCTTGCAGTAGGATGACATACTGCCTCCCAGATCCCTGCTGGCCATGTCAACCGCTTTCTTAAGAACTCTGCGCCCTGCCCAGATAGATCTTCACTCCATCTCTCACTCACCAGGCCTTACTCCAGAGCCCAGGGGCAAAGGCTGGGCTTCCTGGGGCCCAGGTACCCTGTAGTCACTTATATTCTGGGCTTTGGAACCCAGGTAAGGGCTAGAAAGGGGACGTATCAAGGGCATCACTGGTGGTGACTGAGGAGTGAAAATTCTTGGCCTTGGAGAAGGCATTGAGACCTGTGAAGATAACAAAGGGTCAGCTCTTAGACAGGAAAATAAAGAGAATTAATGGAAAACAGAAAATTAATGAAACAAAAAGCTGGTTCTTTGAGGGGTGAACAGAAAATCAATAAAACTTATAGACAATAAAACTTATAGATTGACAAAGAGAAAAGATACCCCAAAAAATCCATTGCTAGCTAGTTGATTCCAACTCATAGAAACTCTACAGGACAGAATAGAACTGCCCTACAGGATTTCCAAGGCTGTAATCTTACAGATGCAGACTGCCAACTATTTCTCTCACAAAACGGCTGGTAGGTTTGAGCCACCAACCTTTTGGTTAGCGCGCAGCAGTTAACCACTGTGCCATAAGGGCTCCATATAAAAGACACAATCATCAAATATTAGGAATGAAATAGGGAATGTTCAAAATAGATCCTGCAGTCATTAAAAGGATAATAAATACTAAAAGTAACTTTATACTCATAAATTCAACCACTTAAAAGAAACAGACCAATCTGTCAAAAACCACAAACTACTAAAACTCAGCCAAGATAAAATAAAACCCACCGCTATTGAGTCTATTCCAACTCCTAGCACCCTATGAGTAGAACTGCCCAGTGGAACTGCCACATAGGGTTTCCAAGGCTGTAAATCTTTACTCAACTAAATTGTCTCATCTTCTAAAGAGTGGCAGGTGGGTTGAATCACCAACCTTTTGGTTAGCAGCCGAATGCCTTAACCACTGTGCCACCAGAGTGCTGCAAGATAAAATAGATAACCACAGTAGTCTTGCAACTCTTAAAGAAATTGAATTTATAATTAAAAATCACTGAAAAAAGAAATCTTCATGCCCATATGGTTTCACTAGAGAATTTTACCAAACATTTAAAGAATTAACACTAGTTTTAAACAATTTCTTCCAGAAAATAGAGTAAGAGGGAACATTTCCTGTGATGGTTAATTTTATATGTCAACTTGGCTAAGGCTATGGTATCCAATTGTTTGGTCAAACAGAAGAGGCTGTTACGAAGTAGTTACATGTGATTAAATCAGTTGGCCTTAAATAAAGCAGATTAGCAGATTACTCTCCATTATGTGTGTAGGTTTCATACAATCAGTTGAAGGCCTTAAGAACAAAGGGATTTTTGCCCAGCGTGTATTCTGCCTCCAGACTATTAAAAGACATCTTGCTAGAACTCCTGCACTCTTCCTGTCACCTGACCTATGGATTCTGGGACACAAAACTGAAGGAATCTCCAGCCTGTTGCCTTACCTACAGATTTTGGACTTGCCAACCCTCACGATCAATGAGCCAATTCCTTAAAATCAATCTCAACCTCTCTCGATTTCTGAGTATGTGTGTATTTTACTGGTTCTGTTCCTCTAGAGACCCTAAAACTCATTTTATGAGGTTACTATTATCCTGATACCAAAACCAGACAAAGCACAAAATAAAATTACAGACTTGTATCTCTCATGAATTTAGACACAAAAGTTTTCAACAAAAATTTAACAAATCAAATCCAACAACATATATAACATCATACTCATTCCAAAACATTCTGTGAACTGCCCTCCACTGCCCACCCCCCACACAAACAGAATGAATTGTTTTCTTGTGTGTGATCTCATGGCACCCTGTCATACCTCAATCATGGCATTTATAAATTTTACTGTAGTCATTTTTTACATGTTTGTCTTTCCATTGGGCAAATCTGCTGCAAAAAAAACTTCTTTAAAGTGTTAAAGAGTAAAAATGTCACTTTGAAGACTAAGGTGCACCTGACTCAACCCATAGTATTTTCTGTAAATTCATATGCATATGAAAGCATATGAATGAATCAATGAATCAGGAAGACCGCAGAATTGATGCATTTGAATTGTGGTGTTGGTGAAGAATACTGCAAATAGCATGGACTGCCAGAAGAGCAAACAACTCTGTCCTGGAAGAAGTACAGTGTTCCTTAGAAGTGAGAATGGCCCCATTTTGTCTCTCGTACTTTGCTCATGTTATCAGAAGGGATCGGTCCCTGCAGGACATCATGCTTGGTACAGTAGAGGGTCAGTGAAGAAGGGGAAGACCCTCAAGGAGAGGGACTGACACAGTGGCTGCAATAATGGGCTCAAGCACGGCAAGGATTGTGAGGCTGGTGCAGAACGGGCAGTGTTTTCCTCTGTTGTACACAGAGCTGCTAGAGTCAGCGCCAACTTGATGGCACCTAATAACAATAATCTTTCCACTAAGGAGCTCTGGTGGCACAGTGAAGGTGAAGGAAGCATTCAGGTGCTAGCCAAAAAAGTTTCAGCAGTTCAAACCCATCAGCTGCTCCACAGGAGAAAGATGAGTCAGTCTGCTTCCATAAAGATTTACAACTTTGGAAACCCTATGGGGCAGTTCTGCTCTGTCTTAAGGGTCGCTATGAATTGGAATTGATTCTGTCACAGCGAGTTTTTTGGTATCTTTCCACTGGACTATGAGCTGCTTAAGGGTGAGGATCATGGTTTTTGCAGTTCTCTATTTTAAGAGCCTAATAGTTGTTCGGGAGCTCTGTTAGCCTAGTGCCTAAGGCGCTTGACTGCTAACCAGAAGGCTGGCGGTTCAAACCCACCAGCCGCTCCTCAGAAGGAAGATGGGGCAATCTACTTCTGTAGTGATGCTGCCTCAGAAACCCAAGGAGGGGTCACTATGAGTCGGGTCCAACTCGACGGTACATAACAACAACATCAATAGTTGTTCAATAAAGTGATCAGGAAAATAACTGACTCTGTGTTCTATAAGGTCAGGAATTTCCATCATTAGTTTTTCCACTAATATATTTCATTGCCTAGAACCCTGCCTGGCACATGGGAGGCCATTTAGTAAGTATTTTTGAATTAATAAACAAATAAAAAAACAAAGTATTACCTTCTGAGATGGTTGAAATCTCAATCCGTAAGATAATGTCTCTTTAGAGTGGGGGGTAGCTCCCACAACCACCCGAGGAAAAGGAAAAGGGGGAGACTGTTGACCCGAGACACCAGAACCCTGGGCGTGAAAAAGCCGATCTCTCAGCTGCTGAACTGCTACCTGCAAGAGTTGTATTAAGTTGTGTTAAAGTAAAACAAGCAAAAACACCCTCTCATAAACCTGGCCCCATACACCAGTCAAACTTGAGCTGACCCCCACACTCTAGCACCTTAGATGACTCAAGGTCCCCTAAGCCCTGCCAAGTACTTGCTTGCTGTTCTGTCTGCCTAGAATGCTCCACAAGGAGCCCTGGGGGCGCAGTGCCTAAGGCATTTGACTGCTAACCAGAAGGCTAGTGGTTCAAACTCACCAACCACTCCATGGAAGGAAGAGTGGGCAATCTACTTCCATAGTGATACTGTCTCAGAAACCCAAGGAGGGGTTGCCATGAGTTGGAATCAACTCAATGGCAGTGAGGTTTTTTTTGTAAGAATGGTCTACACCCGCTGGTAAGCTACTTCTCTCTGAAGGTCCAGCTCAACTATTTTAAACACTGGGAACCTTTCCCTGTCTTCCAGGCAAAATAAGTCCCTTCCCTCAAGTCTCACAGTGTTTCACACACGCTTCTGTTATGGCACTACTAATTACTGACATCTGATCTTCCCGAGGTAGTGAGCTGCTTTTCTGGGACTAGATCTCAATTATCTTGGAAGCTTCAGCATTTAGCATAATGCCTAGCACATGGTAAGTCATCAGCCAGTGTGAAATTATTGAATCAAATGGTTTCTTCTCTCCATAGCGACCCACTCACCTGAGCACAATCACTGGGTAGGTAGCTCATAGCAGTGGCCAGGCTGCCCTGGGATGCTAAGAGGTTAACATACTGAGTGACACTGTGGACTACGGCAGGGCCTGGGCTCACCCCATCAGGTCCCAGAAGTAGCTCCAAGCCTCTGTTGAGGACCATTACCTTCTCCATCAGATCCTATAGGGGAAAAGGGGAAGGTGGTTAGCCTTTTCCATAGAACACTCTAATTTACAAGCCCAGGCAGCTTCCTCAGGCATTTCCCACTATGAGTAGAGATAAGGGCAGCATTTTCTGGCCACAGCCAGGTGAAGGCAGCAGAAAATGATATATGAGGCACACCAGCTACAGAAGGGCCACTTAACCTCTTCTCCCAAGTTATTTGGAATGGGCTCTACTGGACTTTGCCAGGTCTTAGACTCTCATACATGGTTGCCTCCCCTTTTTGGTTTATTCATCCTTTCTTCTAGTGCACCATCAATTAAAGACTCTGATACTATTGTTTCATGTGTAACTTGTATCTCATTCATGTGACCCATTTTCTCTGGTCACCTACAGAATGCCTGGTAGAGGACAGATCCACAGAACTTTTCATATCAGCTAAAAGAAGGGTCAGGCCTATAATTACCTAAATATAAAATTAACTTGCATAACCAAACATGATTGGGAAAAAATCATGAAGGTAAATACCCAAATAGTTGTGGCTCAGTCTCCCTTGACTGTGAAGAAGGGGAGATGAGATTTCACCCTTGAAAGAAGGTCTCAAATTCTGAGGCCCCTAACCTTCCCTCTAATAGCCTGGCTCCAGCTATGTTAGGAGTTGCTGCTGACGACCCTGAATAGCCACATCACTAGCCTCTCGCAAGGACCTGGTAGGGAGCGACCAGTACACTGCAGAGAGTAGTACCTGCAGCGCCATGGGGCATGCAGTCTGGTGGCATTTTGCCCAGCACTCCACCAGCCGCTCCACACTCCCCGAGCACACATAACAGAGTCTGGCTTCAGAAGTTAGTGCCCTGCTACCCTCCTGTTCCATGCGAGTTCCCAGCATGTCTGCAGAGAGATGGACACTTCATTAATGGCACGGCTTCCCTGTGCTCTTCTTCCTTATTCCCGTTTGGAAATAGGTGAGGAGCATGAGTGACAGGACAAGCAGCTATAGTGGTTCTAAGACAACACCAAGGCTCAACTGGCTCTACGCTGAACAGCAAAGTTCTTGCATCGAGTTGTGACAAGAAAAAGTTAAACAGGACAATAGATGTCCCCTATTGAGGGTAATCCCTGCCTCCTAGTCAAGCTAGACCTTGGCCCTCACAACATGGCCTGGCTTCTATTCTGCCACCTTCCCCACTGAATCTGTTGACAAAGTATCTCACACCACTCCATCCAAAAGCCTGGGAGACAGTAGGGACACACCTACCACAGAGCTCAGGGAATTCCTCTGGCCCTGAGTATGTCAGTAACAAGGCCAGCACCTCTCTCCAGTTCTGCAGGCTACAGGCACACACCACGTTCTTCCAATTCTTCTGCACAACACAGGCTAGAAGCTGTAATAGGAAAAGAAGGAAAGAGGCCATCAGTCAGTCATCCGCACAGGCAGCAGGAGACACCCACAGTGACGTTTTAACACACAGACCAGTGATTAGGGACAGGGGTGAGGTAGGGGTAAGTGGGAAGAGAGAGACACGGGGAGATACTCTGAACACCATTCCCAAGGTGTGGGCCTCTACCTGACAAGGTCCAAGTAATCCCCCCCCACCACCTCCTGCACTGTGGGCAGTTACCGAGGAAATTATGGTTTTCTTCTTGGCCAAGTAGCACTCCTGTGCTCGCTTCAGTAGATCTGCACCCGCAGCATGGGCCAGGATGATGGCATCAGCAAAGCGCTCTTCCTTCAAACACAACTCGACAGCTGGGCCCAGTTCCCCAAGCAGGAGAGCCCGGCTCAGGAGCCCATCAGTGTCTGCAGGCAGAGGCAGGCCCTCCCCATCAGATCTGTTTCCTGTCCTCTACAGGGCCCACATCACATCTCCTGTATCTCTGTGTCACTCGGCTTCTCTGCCCCAAACAAAAACCCCTGACTTTCATTCCTCAGCAATGGGACCAGAGGTGCCCAGGTCAAGTAGTAACTCTTTAAGAACAGGCCCCAAGACCAGGGAGGCACTTCATGTGGCATTATCATATATGCCACATCAAGGGCAAGATTATAATCCTTTAAGCAAGAAGACAAAAAGAATAGGGAAAAAAAAAAAAAAAAAATCTCTTAGTAGCAGTCTCATAGAAAGGACTCATCCATGAAAACCTACAATCAGAGAAAGTTGTAGCATTTGAGATGATAGGAGGGAGGCAGGGGCAAGAAGGGAATCTCTTCAAATCCAGAACTTTGGGCCTATCTGCTTCCAAGCAGAAGGCTCCTTTTCCCCAGGGTCAGGGTACCTTCTGTGATGGGAATCTCCCAGGGAGTCATGTTCTGAGGGACCAGCTCATCAAAGAAGGCTGAGGAGGCAGAAGCTTCCTCTGTGGTATGGTTGGAGGCCTGTACACGGAAGGACAGAGGTGACTATTTAGGAACTGAACCCAGAAGTGAGACAGCTAGCTTAGTGGCTATCTCTGGGAGCTCAACTATTTGGTCCTTAACGGTAGAACTAAAGGAATAGTCAGGCAAGGCTTCCTTTGGAAAGGGTCTTAGTTCATGGTTAACACCCTCTACCCTCTACCCTCAGCCCAAAAGCATATGGACTCTTGTGTCTCATTCTGGTTCCAAGAGAGATCTGAGGAGCTTGAAGACTTCTGCAAAAGCTGAGCATTTATTGAAAGCAAAGCAACAGTCCAGGAAAAGAAAGTTGTTCTAAAGGAAGGTTTCCTTTGCTAACCTTGGTCTGGGTGTCTGGGCTCCCACTATACCTGGCTGCAGGTCTGTTGTCTGGTACTGTTAAGATCACTTCTCTTGGGCTGAGAGCTGTCACTCAGCCCCAAGTCACTCTTCAACCATGTGGCCACCTGCAGGGAGAGACCTGTGAGTACCACCTTCCCCAGCATAAAATTAAACCAGCAGTGCTCTCCATATCCTATCTCCATACTCTCTAAGATCCTTGAGCTATTTTCCTGGGAAAAATCCTAACCCTGGGAGGCCAAATGACTGAATGTGCATTAATTAACCCAGGGAGAGGTGTTCTGAAACTTTCTCTCTCTGGCAGGATTCTTATTCTCTGCATCAGTTTCTGATGTCAAGAGTAGCTTACCTTCTTCTGCAAATCATCTTTATTGTATCCTAACAGCTTTAGGAATTTCTTCCTGGTGTCTTGCTCTAAGGTTGCCTAAGGAATCACAGAACACAGAAAAGTCTCCATTAGACCAATGTGAATGACTCTCCTCCTGCACCAAGCTGGGCATTTGTGCCAGTGTTGTCTTGTAACCTCAATTATAGTTTTTTGTACTACCTGAAATGCCCCTGTTGAGGCCAACAACATCTTTCTTTTCCTCCCCAGATCTGATTTAGTGCTGGGTTGTAGGCAAAGTGTGAACAAAAACCCTTTCTGCATTTGTGTAAGCATTTGATCTTCAGCTGACATCCTGTTACCTGATGTCTGTTACTTAATAATCTGGTAAGTGTAAAATGTCAACTATGTTTCAAGGCAACATTGTTGTGATTGATAAATTGCATGTACTAGGAGGAATTATAAACAAACAACAAAGTCACTGATTGCAATGACTCTTGTCGGGACAGATAGATCCCTTGCAGGGACTTTGGAAACTATGCTTATGAGTTGTAACAAGAAATACTGGTTCCTGTGGGTCATGAAGCTTCTCAGGCAGGGAAAATCACACACCTACTGACATACATCTCATCTCCTTGCACCTGAATTGTCTTCCTGGGCACTGAAGAAAAGAACTCTTGATGGCTTTGTGAACTGCAGCACGGACTCCCACAGAAGAGGACTGCCTGATGCTGCCCCACTGATAAGCTGTGGTTCCTGTTCCACATCCTTCTGAAGAGACTGATGCCCATGTTAGTCTCATGAGTCTAAATGTCTAGTTGAGAAGAACCCTGGGCACAGCTACATGGATCTACTTGATGTCTCTCATCTACTTGATGTCTCAGATACTGAGAACCAAGCCTTCCTATAACCTTCCGTAATCGGGGTTAGCTGGCCTGGCCCCTTCATTTACCCCACAATGAACCCTGAACTTTTGATGATGGTCTTTCTTATTGCTTCTCAGGGCCCTCTCCTCTTCTGTGCTCTTCCTTTGGAAATTCATCCACACTCAGCTTCAGGAACCATGATGATGAACAGCTCTTGGGTAGCTCTGAAACCGGATTCCCCTGAGTCCTATAGGCATCACTGGCTCCTTTGATCAGCAGAGTGAAGGCTAAGCTCCTGATCACTCCCCTCCATTCTCCTTCCATGTCCTCTACTCCTGGAGCTATTACTGTTCCTCACTCATAAGCATATTTGTTACTCTTGTCTTCCGGCATCTCTCTCTAATTTCACTCTACAGTTGATGATCTTTCTCAAATCCTCTTCTTCCCAGCTCCCTGGTGTCTGCTCTCATAAAATCTTACTATGTCTGAAGCACAGATCTGAGTCCTTCTCAGACCCCTAGGGAGAGGCCTTGTCTCTCTTTTTTTTTTTTTTGTATTCTTCTCTATAACCATAATCTTCCCACTGCCTGTTCATTCAGCTACTTCCCTTCCTTCAGATCTCTTCTGTCAGCTGCTCATTTCCTTTGACAGGTAAAGCACCCCTTCAAGGACCATAAGCAACTTGAAATTAAATTAGAATTGGAACGGAATCCATGTCCCTGGAGTACAGTTGTCCCTCTGTATTCACAGCTTCTGCATCCACAGAGTCAAGCAACTGCAGATCGAAAATATTGGGGCCGGGGGCTTGGGGAACAATTAAGTCGTCAAAGCAATCCCTCACAGGCTGAGAGGGAGCATAAAGTGCTATATATACAGGATTTACATTGTATTACGTAGTATAGTAATCGAGAGATGATTTGAAGTACATGGGAGGATGTGCATAGATTATATACAAATACTACCCCATTTTACATAAGGGACTTGAGCATCCATAGATTCTGGTATCCGTATGTGTTGGGGTGTCCTGGAACCAATACCCCCATGGTCACCAAAGGACAACTGTATAGTGGGATGTGAACCTTGCGTGCCAGCACAATGACTGTTTTGGGTTATTCAGAACAGACTGAGAGCCTACTCATGACGACGTACCTGTCCAACTAGTCCTCTTCTTTCCCTTCCCTTCTTTTCTTCTTCCTTCCCATCACCCGACCTGTCCTTTGCCATGTGAAAAGCCTTTGCCTTGGCTCTGGTAAAGTACCCAGGACATCAGCAATAGTAGTAGCAAAGGAAACCATAACTTGTATTCCCCATCTTTCCTACCCATGTCACGATGGTATCTACGCCAGCAGTAAAGGGTGAAGATTTTGGGTCCAGGGGAGACGGGTGTAGTGTAGGAACAAACTAACAGGGGCTGGAGCCTCTGCAATCTGAGTCACCATGTGGTTTTGTGTGCCCAGGATTTGACACAGATTGGAGTGTCAGACCTGGGTTCCAGGCTTTGGGAAACACCTCTAAGCAGCCAGCCTTCAGGCTTCCTACCTTCAGGAACTGCCAGAGCATCTCTTCATTTTGCAGTGAAGTTTGCTGGATCTTGTTCTGACAATAATTCAGGAGATTTCCTGATCTCAGGGCTGCCTGCAACTCAGCTGACCGCATCAGGAATTCAGATTCTGTAGTGACTTGACTGATGAAGACTAGGCGGGGGCAAGGCTGCGGCACGTGATGGGCAGGGACGCTGGGGAGGCCAAAGGTAACCAGTTTCCCCCCAAACTTGTAAGGAAAAACAAAGAAAGGCAAAGGTCATACCTTCAAGCCAAAAACCAACATCCAGTGAGGATCACAGGGAAGGCTATCTATTGGTCAACCCGAGGATAGAAAATCAATAGTAAGAGAACCTTAAGGTGGAAGACGACCATGAATTGGGTACTGAATGTGCCCCCATGCCAAAACCATCTCTGTCTTCTTAGCACCATCAGTTTAAATTTCACCACATATTACTTGTCTTCTCTTCACCTGTCCTGGGACCACCATTCTCCCAGTCACCTGGGCATCATCACGTCTTTAAAAAAAAAACAACACCCCACACTGCTGTCGAGTCAGATCCAACTCGTAGCAACCCCCCCCCTTGGGTTTCCGAGGTAGTATCACTACAGAAGTAGATTGCCCAACATTCCTTCCAAGGAGTGGCTGGTGGGTTTGAACCACCAGCCTTCTGGTTAGCAGTCAAATGCCTTAGGCACTATGCCACCATAGCACAGCTATGCTATGCTGCTGTTGTGTTGCTGTTATATGCTATGCTAGCACACCTAGATTATTGCTCGCTTCTGTTCTTTTTTCCCTCCTCTAATCCAAGCCTTACCTACCACCCTATCCCTATTCCTCAAGAGTTTGAAATGGTTTCACATGCCCCAGGAGACAGCTTAAGCTCCTTTGCCTCTGGTGCACAAAACCCTCCAAAATCAAGGCCACACCCATCTCTCCCAGCAGTTCTCTCCCTGTTCATGGGATCTCTCCACATCCCCAAAATGCTTGGATTGTTCCAACTTCTGTGCCTTTGCTCACCACAACACCCCATCTGGAGCAGCCTTCTCACCAACTTAAATGTATTGTATAAAGCACCTGGCACAGAATAGAAGCTAAAGTTCCTTTACCCTAGCAGCTCTCAACCTTGGCTGCTCATTAAAATCACCTAGAGAGATCTTATACAGAAAAAAAAAAAAAAAAGAAACCCAACCAAACCCACTGCCATCAAGTCAGTTCCATGTCACAGCTACCCTCATTGGGTTTCCTAGGCTGTAAATCTGTATGAAGTAGATTGCCTCATATTCCTCCTATAGAGGAGCTGGTGGGTTTGAACCACTAATCTTGTGGTTAGTAGTCAAATGCCTTGCCCACTACGACACCAGAGCTCCTTAGAGAGCTTTTAAGACACTAATATCCAGAGTCACCAGGCCACACCCCAGACAATAAAATGAGAATCTCAGGGGAGGGGGGAAGTGTGGAAACAGACATCATTATTTTTTAAAGTTCTTCAGATTATCCCACTCTGCAACTAAGGTTGACAGCTCCTGCTCCTGCTAACCATTCATTACTTCTCTTCCCAAGCCCCACCTTCCTAAGGAACTTTCCTGCTCAGAATTTTTTTCTCCCTTGACTCTGACAGTATAAAATATATACCACAGGTCAGTGCTAAACAAAATCATCGTAACTTTTTATTTGTGTAGTACTTTACAGCTTTTCAAGTGCTTACATATATTCCCATTTGCAGTTCATAAGCTGGGCAGGTATTATTATCCCCGTTTTACAGATAGGAACACTGAAATTCTGAGAGGTTAAGTGACTTGCCCAAGTTTACCCAGCTAATAAGTGGCAGAGCTATGATAAGAATTCAGGCTTCTTGACCTTTAGCTCAGAATTCTTCACCTTACTCATTCGCCTCCCCCCCAAAACCTCATAACCTCTTGAGCATTATTACCAAACCCAATGCAACCCTGTTGGACAGAGTGGAACTGCCTCGTGGTTCATAAGCCTTATGGAGGCAGTTCTACTGCATCCTATAGAGTTGCTGGGAGTCAGAATTGACTCAGTGGCAGTGGGATTTGATTTTTGGTTAGGGCTGTGCTAGTCCTCAGACTAGCAACAAGGGTATCACCTGGGGAGTTGAGGGAAATTCAGAATCTTGGAGTCTCTGGGTGGAGCGGATGGTGAACATGCTCAGCTGCTAATCTAAAAGATGGAAGTTTGAGTCCACCCAGAGCCTTGGAAGAAAGGCCTGGTGATCTACTACCAAAAAAATCAATCATCAAAAATCCTATAGAGCACAATTCGATCCTGGTACACATGCAGTCGCTGGGAGGTTTGGAAGTCACCCTAATTGCTCCCCAGAGCTAATTAACAAGAATCCAAATTTTAACAAGACTCCAAGTGATTTGGATGCACATTAAAGTTTGAGAAGCACAGCTTAAGGGATACACAAATGAATAAGACATGCTCTCTATTCTCAAGTATCTATTGCTTAGTAGGGTGTCCCGACATATACATGTGTGTCTGTGTGTATATATATCTCTGTGAATTTATATATATATATGGCTTTAGCACAGTTAGAATGTACCACTGCAAGAATATAAGTCTGTAGGATTATGTAAGTGATGTTAATTTTTACAAGGGTTAAAGAAGGGCATCAGGAGGGTGAAGGTGATATTTAAGTGAGGCCTTGAAAGGCTGCAGTAGGATTCAATGGGCACAGGACAGAAACTGGAGGGTAGGGAATACAGGCATAAGGAGGAGAGTTGAGGAATTATTCATGGGACAGAAATTAGTCACAGGTAACCAGAGCACAGGGAACACATGGGGATGAACTGGTAACTAGAATGGTAAGTAGACATTTGGCACTTAGTCTACAAGGCAATGAGTATTCAAAGGTTTTGAGCAGGGGAGTGACAATGATGAAATCTACATTTCTTCTTTCCTGCTTTGTTTCCTCACTACCAGTCCAGACATGTATGGGTTAGAGGAAAATGAGGTGGACTCTCAGGCCATTCTCCATGGCCAAGAAGTCTAACACAAACACTTCTTTGAGACAAGACTGGCACAGAAAGCAGGGGTAGGAGGAGTGAAGTGATGGAGAGGAAGCTATAGTAACTCTCTGTTTAAGAAGTAAAGTAGGACCTCATCTGGGGGCCCAGGCAATGGGGGAAAAAAGAAAGACCCTACAGAACCTACTCCATGCTGGGCAGGTGGTAAGGTTTCTAAGTACACAGTCAACACCCTCCTTCCCTCCCCCCACCCCCTAAAAAAAAAACACATATACTCATACACACACTACACTTACAGCAAATGAAACACCTGCTGGTCTTCTAACCCATTTGGGGGGTTTTTTCAGGGAAGGTATCAATGTTGCTTGGGCAACCTGCTCTGGCACCTGCAATGGCGGGAAAGGCTGGCCTTTGTTGAAGGAAGAGGAGATCTGAGGGCAAAAGAACAGATCTGAATCATCAGCCTGAAGCAGAGGCTTAGCCAGAAACATCATCGACAAACTCCAGTTTTGAAGGAACCCTTAGGACACCCAACCTGGCCTATAAAGGTCAGACTCCCATTTTCCAGGAGATGGGGATGGGACTGGGAGTGAGGGCGGGTCTCCCATGCAGCAGGGGGACTCTTGGAGAACCTACTGTGTCCAAGGTCTACAATGGAACGTGACATAAAAAGGGTCTACTGGAGAGAGGGAGGCAAGACAGTTCATACTCCTGAAATAATGGTCCCAGCATGGAGGTCCAGTGTCCTTGAAATACAAGGAACACCCAAGAACAAGAGTCAAGGTGAAGGCCTTCTTCGTAATGGCAGGCGCTGATATCTTCCCAGGAAGGTAGGCACTGGAGCAAACACGCAGCCCTCCCAAATCCAGGGCCTGGGTCGCCCAGGCTCCAACAGCCTCCATCTCTTCCCAGGTCCTATGTTCTCTCCCTCCAACAGAGAGAGCCCCTTCTCCCCAGCATTCTCCACCAAGCTCTTCAAACCTTGTCTGCCTGTCTCATCCGCTGGGCTTCCCAGCTTCTACCCATCACAGAGTACAAACTGATCCAGCCATCAAAGGAAGCAGCAGAGAACACTGGAGGGTTCCGAGGGCACCACTGCACATCAAAGCACCAACTGCTCTGTGTGGGTAGCTGATATACCACCTAATACGAGCGAACACACCATTAGGGACTATGCAGTCCATGAAACCCATAACACACAGCCGCAGCAGGGAAAACTCCACCATCTCATTTCCCGTCCCAACACTCCTGCCAAAGGGCCAGCCTACCTCACTGCTCCCCAGGTTCCAACACAAGATCTGGTTGTCCTTGGCACTACTGAGTAACAGCTCAGGGTCAGCCTGGCTCCATGACACTGACAAGATACCCCTAAAAAGGAAAAGAAAGAGGAACTAATATTTATCGAATGTCTACTATGAGTACATCTTAGATAAATCTCAGCCTTATAAATGGCTGATCTGATGTCATTTTACAAATGAGGAAAACAAGGCTTTTAAAAGTTAAGTGACTTTTAAACAGTCACGTAACCAGAAAGTGGCAGAGTGGGACCTGAACCCAAGTCAAACTCCAGTGGCTGTGCACTATCCCACCCGGCCTCCCAGGCTTCACTGCCAGGTGGCCCCCCCCTTTTCCCTGATTGCAGAGTGGGAACTGTGAATTGATAACAAATCAGGCCAGTATCCATCCCGATGGATGAACCCTTTTCTACTGAGGTTTTAGCCTGGGAAGGTAGTGAGGACCTAACTCTCAAAAGTTCCCTAGGAGGTATAAAGGCCGTTTGGTTAGAAAGAACAGATTGAGGGGCTCTCCCTATGCTGTGAGCCCAAGAGCTGCAGAGGAGGGCCTGGTTAGCAGGATAGATAGCAGCCAAGGAGCTCTTACTAAGAAGGGACTTGGGGTCAGGCAACCTCATCACCTAAAGAAATGAGCATTACCTTCAGATCAGAGGAGGGCCCCAATATTTCTCATGACCACATCCCTGCTCCCATCTCTGTAAGTTGGATGGAATCTCAGGCTATTCGCCATAGACCATGTGACTGTGTTCACAGGCATGGCTCTGAAGTCAGGTGGATGTTTGGTAGCTAAAGCAAGGCATCCCTTGCCTCTCACCCAGGTCAGTTATGTCCTGCAAGGATGGGGTTGGGCACTGAGATGCTACCTGCTGTGGCTCTCCAGCACTGTCAAGGGTGATGAGGTAAAGCGCAAGTCCCACAGCTGGATCACTGGGAAATGATCATCCTCTGAGCACAGCACCAACTGAGTGGCTATGTCTGGGTGCCAGGCCAGGCCCGAGCAGTGCATCTATGAATGAAGCAGATCTCAACGGGTGATGTAACTTGATTCCCTTGATTATGAACCTTTCTGTCCAGTTAGAATGGGACCGCGCTGAGGCAGGTCTGCGTCTTCATCTATGTGACTGGGAATACCACAGCATCAGGGCACAGTGATCACCATGATAAAGTTAGGGATGGCAGAAGCCTCCAGATTAGTTGTTTAACTTCCCTAAGCTTTCACTCTCAATAGGAAATCTTCTAAGGGACTTAATCCACAAGTCCAGTAGCTGAGAGCAGAATCCTGGCCTGGGAAAGGGTAGCTCTAACTACTAGGAATAACAAGCCAGCTCTCAAGCCTGTGTGCTGGCCTCTGCTACTCACCCTGTTGCTGTGATCACTGACTTTGATGATAGGTTCATTCTTCCTAAGATCCCACACAACTGCCTTGCCGCTGGGATGAGCAGAAGACAGAATGTGTTGGACTTGCCGGTTCCAAGAGAGTGCCCTGATGTCTTCCAGGGGCTGCTGAGGCAGGGTGGGGGTGGGGAGGACAACGTGTTACCTCCTGGACCAAGGGACATCACTGCTCCCAACCACCCACAGAAAGCCCAAGAACAGACATGGGCTAGCCAAACAAAGACAATCTCAGGGAGCTAGGAGTTCAATTTTCCAGAGATCCCTTTAGGGTACCAAAGTAGGGAGTGAGGGAATGGAACCCAACATGCTCCTGAAAGGAGTTTAGATTAAAAAACAGCCCTCTTGTCTATGACAAAGAGACAGAAGGAAGAAAGGTAGAGGGGAGGAAGAATGATAGCCAAGAACCCCCCTCAGAAAGAGTGGGGCAGAAAGAGAAACCTCTGTTACCTTCAGGGCACAAAACAAAAACCCACTGCCATCGAGTCAATTCTGACTCACAGCAACCCTATAGGAGAGGGCACAACTGCCCCATAGTGTTTCCAGGACTATAATTCTTTACGGAAGCAGACTGCCTCATCTTTCTCCCGTGGAGCTGTTGGTGGGTTTGAACACTGACTTTCAGTTAGCAGTGGAATGCTTTAACCACTATGCCACAAGAGCTCCTTTTCAGAGCACAAAGTACTGCTAAACACATATACAATTTACCTCATGATACTGTAAGCCTAAGACAAGGGAAAGCCAGGAAGCAAAAAGATGGGCCCAACTACAGACCAAGAGATGGGCATACTCAGAGATAGAACTCACACTAGATGCCCCACTATGTGGGATAGCTGTGTACAGCGAAATGAAACAAAGCTAACCCTCCTCGCACACAAATAAATAAATAAGGAGTGATCTAGGTGTCCTGCCCTTGCTCCCTCTCTGCTGAGCCCTACCCAGCCCTGCCTAAGCTGTATTACTAAACTGCATTACTAAGCTCTGGGAGCGTAGTGCCTAAGGCATTTGACTGCTGAGCAGAAGGCTGGCGGTTCAAAGCCACCAGCCACTCCTCGGAAGGAAGGTTGGATGATCTACTCTTGTAGTGAGACTGCCTCAGAAACCCAAGGAGGGGTTGCTATGGGTCAGATCTATCTGACTCCACGGCAGTGAGTTTGGTTGTTTTTGTTTTTAATTACCAAGCACTCCTACTCCTTCTCTCACCATCTTTTCCTGCTCTTCTTTATCACTTTCCTCCAGAAGTCCCTAGGATGGTTAATGGGTTAATGGCCATGAACTAACTCCCTGGTTTCTTCCTCAATCCCGGTTATCTGGCCGGTAGCACCTTAGTTTTGTGGAGTTTTATTGCCCTCCAGTGGTAAAGCCTGAAATTGCCTGCACTCTGCCAGGGCCCAGAATTCAGGCTTTCACTTGGGAGAATCAGCTGTACACTAAGTAGCAGCCTCAGAAGCCTCCTCACCTGTGCCTTGGATCCCGTGGTCATTGGTACACTCAGGTTATTCAAATCCCAAATGAAGATTTCGGAATCACTGGCCCCCGAGGCCAAGAGGTTGCCCTGTACAAAGAATAGGCCTTTGGAGGCAACTATGCCAGGAAGAGACAAAATGCAAGAAAGGGAGAAACAGGTCTACACTCAGGGCTATCCAAAGCCTCCCCTGTAACATCCTGGGAAGGGTTCAGAGTTACAGACTAGTGGTCACAAGGGGATGCTTCCATTAGACCTGTTACCCCATGCTATCTGACCAACTCAAATGCAGTACCTGAAAAGGATTAAAGTCGAGGGCTCTGATGGCCCCTGTGTGCTTCTGTCTCTGGGCAATCACAGGTTCCTTCTCTGAAGACAGGATGTGGGTCACATTGTACAGAGTAAGCATGCCATTGTCCCCGCCGCCTGCGATAACCCCGGAGCCTTCCAGAAGACCATTGCCAAAGGTCCCCCAGATCAGCTTATGAAACCTACAAAGAGAAGGAACTGGCATCAGCACCTACTCGGGACCACATCAGCAAGCAAAGGGTGGGCACCTGTTTCAGCCTCTTCCATTGTGAAGCATCCTCATGCCCAGCAAGGGCCTGCTTGTCTCCCTCAGCTCCCTGACACAGCAGGGAGGTATCCTCAGCCTGGCCCTGCCCTTTCTCTGGAAGAATATTCCATCTCTGCCACACTGGAAGGCTGGAGGCCACTCCTCTAAGTTCTGGGTTGGGGGTGCTTTTTTTAAAAGTTAACATTATTAGAGTTATAGAGGCCAGGCTCTGTGGTATACTTCAAAAACATTACTTAATTTTCACAACTCAAATAAACAAACAAAAACCAAACTCACTGCCATCAAGTTGGTTCCGGCACAACTCAAATAGGCAGATAATAGCAACAACTAACACCTGTTGAATACTGACTATGTACCAGGCACTGATCTAAGTGCTTCACACGTATTTCCTGATTGAATATTCAACCACCCCATGAGGTAAGTCCTATTACTTTTTTAAAAAATTTTTATTGTGACTTTGGTGAAAGTTTACCGAGCAAACTCATTTTCCATTTTGTTTCATGGCATTGATTGCCATTCCCCACAATGTAACAGCTCTCTTCCCAGTTCCCAGTTCCTCCCTTTTCCTTGTGTCCTTCCTTCCCACACACTCCCGCCCCCTGACCAGTCTCCTTGTGCAAACACTGCCCTTCTGTTCTCCCACAGTTGATTGCTCCAAGGAGTGTATCTACCTGATATAAATGTTAACCCCACATGCCTGTCTATTGCTTGGCTGGAAGCCACAGGAATGAATTCAGTTCCACACCTGAAGGGTAATTAGGGGCTATAGTTTCATGGGTCTCACCAAGCTCTATCAGACCAGCAAACCTGGTCTTTTTTTGTGATTTCAAGTGTTGCTGCACAGTGTTCTCCCATTCTATCCAGGATCTCCTGCACCAATCCCCCTGAGTAATTGACAGTGGTAGCCAGGTACCATCCAGTTTTTCTGGTCTCATGGTCATATAGGCTGAGGATTGCATGGTCTGTTACTATTATTATCTCCATTTTCAATTGAGGAAACAGAGGCACAGCTAAATTATGACACTTCTGTACACAAAGCTATTAATTTTATCCCATTCAACAGCTAGGAAGTGGCAAAGATAAGGTTCAAAGCCAGGCCCATCTTATTCCAGAGCCTAAGCTCTTAACCACTCTATAATACTGCTTCTTGGTTAGAGGAAGACACAAACTCTTCTGTGCCTGATGAAAAGCAGGCTCCTGAGATCAACACTGCTGTTCTCTCTCTCTCTCTTTTTTCCCCCATAACTTGGATTTTATTAAAATTAAGAACTTCTACTCAACCAAAGATTGCATTAAGAAAGTAAAAAAGTTGCAGACTTGGAGAAGATATTTGCAACACATACAACTGATAAAGGACTCATAACTAGAACACACAATGAATCCTATACTTGCCCCCAAGGGGAATTAAAGTTTTTAATTAAAAAACAACAACCCACTTTAAAAATGAGCAAAAATCTTAAACAGGAACTTCTTAAAAAAAGAATATCCAAATGGACAATGGGCATATGAGAGGTGCTCAGCATCAGTAATTATCAGAAAAATGCAAATCAAGTCAAAATGAGCTACACTCTAACAGAATGACTAGAATTAAAAGGATTGACAATAGAAAGTTTGGCAAGGATGTAGAGCAGCTGAGAATCTCATATATTGCTAGGGCAAATATAAATTAGTGCAAGCACTTGGAAAAACTTTTGGCAGTATTGCCAAATTCTGAATTTATATATACCCTATGACCTAGAAATTCCACTCCAAAATATATAGCCAACAAATGTTAGTGCTTGTTTCATTTACTCTGAGACCAGAAGACTAGATGGTGCCTGTACCACACCATTTTAATCAGGTGCCACAATAGATGGACTTGGATGGAATGGGAGAAAAATGTGGAATAGAACCTCAACTTCCTGGGAAAAAAAAAAAAACACTTACTGGATATGTTTGATGTGTGACTGACTCCCGGAGACTACTGCTCTGAGGTATCTTTAAACTTTGAACTAAAACTAACCCCTCAGGATACCTTGTAGCTAAATAATGGCTTGGCTGACAAAATAAAAATAATGACCATAAGTAGTGTGTGCCTTTCAAAAATCACCTATGTGTGACCACATGGTCAACAATTACTTTAAAACAAAGATGAGAATGTAAGGGAAGGGGGAGGAACTAGATTAATGGACACAGAACAACTAGATGCTGTTCTCTCTTCCCTCTCAAACTGAAGTGAGAAAAGACCCAAGGACCTCCCTACCAGATGCCTCTCCTATGTGCCTGGCCCACAGCACTGCCACATGGCTGCAAGGAGATAGAGGCACAAAAGGACAAACGGCCCATCTGGGAAGCACTTTTCTGGCATTCTAAGGATGTTTCCAATAAGGCACAGCCAGTGTCTTACACAAAAAGACTGACGTTGGGCCCCCTGCAGATAAGTCTGGTCATCTGAAAAGCCCCTAGGGAAGGCATGTGAAATTCCCGAAGCCTCATAGGTGGTCTGTCTTCCACTTCACACATGCTAACCAAGGACATTTCCAGAGAAGCCAGATTTCACCAAATGATGGCACAAGATCCCTTATTGCACGTTGCTGTATCAAGAAGCAATGAAATGTTCCCACATCCTGGGAACAGTCAGCAAAGAAAGAAAGTGGGAGGACAGGGCAAGAGCCTGTTTGTCTAGTCATTAGACCAGAGGTAACATGTCAGAAGTAAAGAGATGAGCCCCAGTTTAGGCCAGCTCAGCGGAACTGACACAAACAATGACTCTAAAGCTAGTGTTGGATAAGCTATGCCGTCCCATTGACCTTAATATGAAAGAATGTGCTCCACCCTGGATAGAGAGCCTACCATGTCATCTAGGGACATGGATGGTCATGGGAGCAGAGAGCAAGTCAATAGAGTGGCTAGAGGAACTCATACAGGTCACACAGGAGGCAGAGGAGAGTATGGCCAGAGAAAAAAGTCACACAGGATTGGCAGGAGAGGTTGCAATGACCTCAGTATGGTCATAGCACATGACATACAGATCAGAGTATGAGGTATGTGACACCTCAAGGGGAAGTCACCTAAGGGTTAGTAGAGAAGATGGCACAATTACTTCAGAGGGCTGAAATGCACAACGCAAGGTGTGACTAATTTTCTTTCATGTAGAGAGTATAACCCTATTGTTACCTACTTTACTAGTGAGAGTGAAAGCTGGTACCTGAATGGATCATAATGGAGAACACCTGGGAGGGTGGGAGGCCACTGACAGATAACCAAGGAAGGAGAAGTGATCATCAAATGGGCTCAAGGAATGTCAGGCCCTTCTGCTCTGCAAATCAGCTGGGAATAAGAGTGTAAGTGCGTGCATGTGTGGTGTATGGAGTAAGGGAAGGAGGGAGAGAGACAAAATGTTAACAATTGGTGAATCTAAATGAAGGACATATAGATATTCATTGTACTACTCATGGAGCTGGTGCAGGACCAGGTGGTGTTTCATTCTGCTGTGCATAGAGTTGCTATGAGTCAGATACGACTTGACGGCACCTAACAACAACAACCCTAAAACTTTTCTGTAAGTTTGAACTTTTTCAAAACAAAAAGTTAAAAAACAAAAATATGTCCATAAATGTGAAAAATGGAACTAACTTAGAGGCTTAAAGAGAAGGTTTAGGAAGAAGATCTGTATAGAAAGTTGGGAAATTTCAAAACCTAAGAGTTACAGGTGCTAAAGAGGTTCCCAGGTTAACGACGGCAATGATAAAGACCATAGGGCATCACAGAATGATGGGAGGCAACTAAAGATAATAGATTCTTTGACTCCTGCCCAGACCTGTGAAGCAGAATTTCCAGAATCAGTACCTCAGCATTGACATTTGTAACAAGAACTTCTCAGGTGATTCTAATGAGCAACTGGTGTTGCGATCTACTGTATTAGATACATCAGAACCTCAGACCAGCCTAGAACAAAAGGGGAGGAAGCCGAATTTTATAAAGATAGAAGCAGCCCTAACAACCAGCTCATGACTATGCCTCTGGCAAAACGAAAGCAGCAAGGGTGACGAGAATAAACGAAGGCCCGTGAGATCAGGAGGTGCCAGCTAAGCTGAACTGAGGCTGAGCTTTAGCTACCTTCTGGATAGGAATGTGTACTCTTCGGTTTTGAAATTCTGAATGTGTGCTATATGAATTCTTGCCTCTATGATTTATGTACTCCCTTGTTTTGGATTTTGCTCTTATTTGCTTAATAAAGTTCATTCTGAAAAATCCCAACCCCATGTTAGAGAACTAAAGTAAAAAAGAGTTTGTCTACATCCAGGCCGAAATAGCTGAGGAGATCCAAGTTCCCTTACAAGTCAAACAGAGTGGTGAAGTCAGTGCTCCAAGCTGAAGAATCAAGACAGTGGAGTGGAACAATGGCTGTTAGAAAGATGAACCATCTTCGAAAGGCCTACTAAGTACCAGGTACTATCCTGAATTTGCTGTGAAGAAAACAGGGTCAGAGAAGTTAAATAATGTGCCCAAGAGGACAGTAAATGGCAGAGCGGGGGTTTGAACCTAGGTCTGCCCAACAAAAAAGCTCCTGCTCTCTACTCTATGACCTGATGCCTCCAGAGCAACAAGTCTTGGGAGCAAGAAAACTAAGTGAGATACATAAATTGATTAATTTTGGCTTGGTGTTGTCTTTTACACAGGCACTGTCAAAGGGAGGTGAAAGTGCTCCCCAACGAGTTAGAACTGAGAAAAAGGTACAAAAGGATCAGTTACGATCTCCACGTCTCAAGAAGATGGCTCATACAGAGGTTATAGAAGCCATTCAGAGATGTAGACCCTCAGTATAGACAAAAGGTAGAGTGCAGCATATCACACATTAGCCTCTGACCTTTGGGTTATAACAGGCCTAGCAGCTCTGTCCTCAGTCCAAAGATCAGCAACATAAACAATACATTATTCTCTCTGAAACCTTTCCTCCTGAGTAAGACTCATCCAACACAGCAAACATCACTTGCTTCAGCACACACACTAATCCGTATCGATTCTGATTGTATCCAGTGCCATTTATCCATGCAGCATATTTATAGTTTAAGGCTGTTCCTTATCAACACCCAGGTGTTCATAGCATCTCTCTTTTAGTCAGATATTTCTAGGTAGATAATATTTCCCTGATGTATCATGGATTGAGGGTAAGGGGAACTTCAGGATCCAAATTTGGTTAAGGCATGGGTCTGCTGAAAAAGGCAGGCAGAGGAAGGAGATGAATTTGAAAAATGTATATTAAGTTAATAAAGACTGTGTGTGTGTGTGTGTGTGTGTGTATAAAAAGAGAGAATAAGCCCAAAAGAAAAGAGGAGACTGAACATAAGAGCTCAGAAGATCCCTTGAAGTCACCTTGTTCAACCTCTTCTTTGTACAGATATGAGAAAACCCAAAACCACTGATGTAACTCAAGTTAGTCAAAGTCACACAGCTTTACTAGTGTCATAGTCAAGCAACTGTGCTTTCCACTACACCATGCAGAAGATCACAAAGAAAAAGGAGAGAGAGAGGAAAACATAAAGCAAAGGACAGGTAACTCATTAAAGACCCTGCTAATTACAGCCAATAGTTTATGATACTAACTTTTGAGTAAATAGCTAACAAAGGCTGGAACAGAAAGAAATAGGTATCCTAGACCCTAAAGTGTCTAAGATGATTTCTTTAGAAAAGCCCCACTGGAGCTGTGTCCAAGGTAATTTCTTAGATCTTTGGGAGTGAGACTCAATCTTTGAACAGTTAGAGTAGTGGAAAAATAAAGCAGAGATGAAATATTACCAATAGTGCTAACTGTATTATTTATTTTGCCTCCACCAAGCCCCTACAGGTTAGGACAGGGGTATGAGGTGAAGTTCTTGACTCCCAAACTCAGTACTAACATTTTTAAAAAGGTCCCTTTAACCTTGTTGACTACAAAACAAATAGACTATCACCCTTGAAAGGCTCTTAAAACATTAAGACTACTAACTTGGTTGTAACTAACTGAAGTGTTCAACGTGAATGATTGCTCAGCTTGGGAACCCAGCAATTTCTAGTACCACTCACTCCTTCAGTAACGATTTATTAAGCACCTACCATAAGCCAGGCACTGTTCTAGGTGCTAAGATATATCAGTTAATAAAAGACAAAAATTTCTGTCCACATGGAGCTTAGAATTAGTTTCAAGGTTTCTTCAGCAATTGCATTGCCTCTTTGTTAAGACTCCTTAGTCCCATGGAGCCACTATATGAGCATCCAATCAGTGTCTGACAGCAATGAGAAGAGGATCATTCGTTCTCCTCATTGGCAGAAAAGGGAAATATTGTGTAAGGTTGTTATCTTCACAAGAGCCAAGGGAGGAAGGAGCCAACATCTGTGGGTTCAAGGAGCGGTCAAGTACACATGGGTGCAGCTTGTATGAGGTGTTTATCACATGCATTCTGCCTGGTACTACAGCAGCTGCTACCGCTGCCCAGAAAGGTGGGGGTGGTTGTTTTTAAGATTATTTTGCAAAGTAAACTCAGAGTTAACTTCTCTACAACTTGGCAAAGTTCCTTCTCCTCCCAGGATTCCCATCAGGATCTGCCCTGAGTACCCATCAATAGTTCAGACAGTACCTGCTCGAGGCAGAAAGGACTCCCTTGCACTTCAGGTCCAGAGAGGGATCCCTGAAATCAACCTCAAAGATTTCCAATGTGCCGCTTGTGCTAAAGGAGGCATCTAGCTGCTGGGCAGATGTTCCTAGGCACAAGAAAAGTCAAGAAGCAGCAGCATATGAGCAACAGTATGTGCATGAATTCGAAGCATAAACAGGTTAGGGATGGAGAGGAGGAAGAACAAGAGAAGACAGGGTATACTCTTTCTCAAATGGTTACTCCGAAGAAAGCCAGCAACCTGAAGTACCTAACCATGAGCTGCCCCAAGGTGCCCAAAATGCCCAATATTCCCTTACTTAGGTTATAAGCCATTTCCTGCCTTTCTGTGAGCCTAAAGCTTTCTTGAGTGTTCAACAAAGAATTCTGGATACTAAGTTTCACCTCACCTATGCACTTCCAGTGGATCCCACTACACAGTCTCCATACCTGTGGCCAGATACACAGGGTACTGGCTGGCTGGGCTCCACACCTGGATGGCTGGCCGCTCAAGTTCCTTCAGCTTCATGATTTGTTCTGTATATGGCAGAGAACTGACATGGCTTTCAGCCCACTGAAAATAGAAACCAGCAAGCTTAATGCCCGGATTTGAGGAGCACCTGTGGACACTGGATTAGGGTCTTGCTTCCTTCCCTCCACTACAGGATGGGGCATTTCAGGGCAGCACAGAGTAACAAATAGATTTGCAGATCTGTAAGGTCAGCTCATTTACTCAATTACTAAAATCTAATGCTTTAAACTCAAAAGGATATTCAAGCACAATGGTTGCCACAGGCCCAATGGTGATGATAACCATTAAATCAAACAATTCATCAGTGATCTTATCCACTCCCTCGGCTTTAATTATCAACAATATGCTGATGACGCAAAAATGTTTATCACTAACACAAATCTCTCCTCTGTGCTCCAAGCTCCTACATAAAATTGCTAATCAAGTAACCCCACTTGCACATAGCAGATACCTACAAAGTAGTCTGTATAAAGTGGAATTCTCTATTCCACCCTCCCCCACATATCTCTTCTTCCTCCATTTTTCATCTCAATAAATGATACCACTATCCACCCAATTTCTGAAGCCAGAAACCTAAAAATGTCCTTGATTCTTCTCTCTCATTCTTTTTCAATCCATAATTGAGTCCTCCTGATTTTATTCCAAAATCTATTTTAATCTATCTACTTTTCTCTATCTCCACTGCCACTATGCTGTTTGAACATGTCATCATCTCTCACCTGGATTATTATAATAGTCTCCCACTGGTTATCTCCTGGCTACTCTGCCATCCTCATTCATTCTATACATAACAGCAGGAGTAAACCCTTAAAATCAGAAATAAGATTTTGGCATGTCCATGCTTAAAATCTTTCAATGACTTCTATCACACTCAGAATAAAATTGAAACTCCTTCCCATGGCCCAAAGGCTCCAGCCTACCGCTTTAACCTCTTTTCTCTTCTTATTCATTTTGCTCCAGTCACACTGGCTTCTTTTTTTCCATTTCCTGTTTTGTTCCCCACCTTAGAGCCCTTCCAAATGCTGCTCCCTAGACCTATACCTAAGGAGCCCTAGTGGTGCGACGGTTAAGTGCTTGGCTGCTAACTGAAAAGTTGGCAGTTCAAACCTACCCAGCAGCTTCATGATGGAAAAAGACCTGGCAATCTGCTTCTGTAAAGATTACAGCCTAGAAAACCCTATGGGGACAGTTCTACTCTGTCACTTGAGGTTGCTATGAGTTAAAAACTGGCTCGACAGTAACACAGCAACATACCTCTATCTATTCCCTTCACTCTATGTGTGATTGGTTCTTTACTTTGTCCTTCTAGACTCAATTTTTCATCCCCTCAGAGAGGCCTTCCCAATCAAAAACAGCCTCAATTTTTTTCTTCCTAGCAATTTACAATTATGTATGCATGTACATTGTTGATTTCTTCCAGTAGAATGTAAACTCCCTGAGAGCTAACACTGTCTGCTTGGTTCACCATGTTATAACTAATGCCTAGAACAATACCTGGTACATAGTAACAAATATGTGTTAAATGAATGCAGACATCCATTTCCAATTCAATCTAATGTATATTCAAGGTCCCATTCTAACAAGCTAGCAAAGCAACAGAGAGGTTTTTTTTTTTTTTTAATGCATTTTATTGAAACATAATTTATGTACAGTGAAATACACAAAACTAAAGTGACATGGGTCAATGCTTTTTTTTTTTTTTTTTTTGGCAGTGTCCCCCTCCCTCCCCTTCCACCCCTGGCAACCAACAAAGAAAGTTTCCCTCCATATATAAACCTTTCCTTGACCCTCCACAACAACGAACTAATACTATATTTGTCCTTCTGTGATAGACTTATTTCACTCAGCATAACGTCCTCCAAGTTCATCCATATTATGCCGTGTTTTGCAGACTCTACATTATTTAGTGCTGCATAGCATTCCATTATGTGTACGTACCATAGTTTGGTCATCCACTCTTCCACTGATGGGGACATAGGTTGTTTCCATCGTTTTGCTATTGTAAATAGTGCTGCAATGAACATGAGTGTGCATACATCTGTTCCTGTCCTGGCTCTCATCTAAGATATATACCTAGTAATGGGATTGCTGGGTCAAATGGTATGTCCAATTCCAGCTTTCCAAGGACTCACCATATTGCTTTCCACGGTGGTTGTATCACTTCACAGTCCCACCAGCAGTGTGTGAGAGTCCCAATCTCTTCACATCCCTGCCAGCATTTGTTACTTTCTGTCTCGTTGAACCTTGCCATCTCACCTGGGGTGAGACAGTATCTCAATGTTGTTTTGATTTGTATCTCTCTGATGGCCAATATCGTGAGCATCTCTTCATGTATTAGCTGGTCACCTGAATATCCTTCTTGGTGAAGTGTCTATTCATGTCTTCTGCCCATTTTTCAATTGGGTTGTTAATTTCTTTGGTGTTGAGGCGCTGGAATTTTCTATAAATCTTAGAGATAAGTCCCTTGCCAGTTATGTAATTATCAGCAAATATGAAATTGTTGCTGTCATTTTTGTTATGTGCTTTTTCATGGTGTTGATTTCTTTGTTCCATGTAATTTTCTATGCTGAGCTCATTTTGTTTATGAATCATGTTATCACGTCCTTCGTTGCTATAGTTTTAGTATTTGCTAAATATTTGTGCTGGTCCTCTTTTTCATTTTGATGTGAAGGTTTATCATTTTTCTTTGAGGTTACCCTATGATTTATAGTTTTCTTCCCAAGTTTAGAACAGTCCGTTCTGTCTTGTTTACAATCTTGTAGGCTTATTTACTTTGAATACTTCTACAGCTGGGTTGGTGTCTGGGTTATATCATCATGTGTGTTAATGGTCAGTTGTCGTTGGCCATTGTTGTTTCTCTGTCTAAAGCGCTCCCTTTAGTATCTCTTGTAAGGTTGGTCTGGTTTTAACAGATTCCCTTAATTTCTGTTTATCCGGAAATGTCCTAATTTCACCATCATATTTGAGGGACAATTTTGCTTGGTACATAATTCTTGGTTGGAAATTTTTCTCTTTTAGGGTTTTATATATACCATCCTATTGTCTTCTCACCTGCATGGTTTCTGCTGAGAAATCTGAGCTTAGTCTTATTGTAGGTAACTTTTCGTTGTTCCTGTGCTACTCTCACTCTTTCTTTGGTTTTGGTAAGTTTGATGATGATATGTCTGGGTGATTTTCTTTTGGGGTCCATTCTATTTGGGGTTCATTGGACTTCCTGAATGGACATATTCTCATCTTTCATCATACCAGGAAATTTCTCTCCCAACAAATCTTCAACAATTTTGTCTGTGGTTTTGTCTCTTCCTGTTCTGGAATTCCAATGACACGTTAGGTTATTCCTTTTGATGGTATCCCACATGAACTTTAGGCTTTCTTCATTCTGTTTTAACCTTTTTTTCTGACTGATCCCTTTCCAAAGAAGTGTTCAAGTATTTGCCTTCTATCTCACTAATTCTCTTCCATTGATTCAATTCTGCTCCTTTGCCCATTCAATGTCTTATCTATTTCTGAAAATTTAGTATTAATCTGGATTTCTATGTGTAGACTTCATATCATTTCTAATTTTTCATTTGTCATTTTGTTCTTGTACTGTCTTTCACAATTGTTTTAGGGTTTTGTCTGTGTTTTCCTTGATCTGTCTCAATTTGTTGAAAATACCTAAATAAAATTCTTTTGAATTCCTTATCAGAGAGTTCCAATGCTGCATTTCCTCAGGGACATGTTTTGGGTCTGTATCCTGGTCCCTTGTTTCTCCTGCTTTATCTTGCTTCTTTGTGTGGACTGTGATGTTCTGTTGTCTCCGAGGCATTGTGATGTTTTTGTGTTTATATTTAATTGGTGATTGTATGTTGGAGTGACTTGCCCACGATTTCAGTTTCCTTTGTATGTTATCTAAGCAAGCAGGGTACTGTGCTCCTCTATTCACTAGTTGATGGCACTTATACACTCACCAGTCTCCTTTCCTGTTGTCAGCCTTTTGTATGTCCCTGCTGATCTTAGCAAACAGAGCCTATTCTTAGGTCCCTGAAATCCAAATGAGAATGCTATCACTTTAAAATCCAAAATGGTTGCCAATTGTAAAGATTCAAAATGGCTGTATCTTCGATCACTTTAAATATCCCAAATGGCCATCACTTGTAAATATTCAAGATGGCTGTGCCCTCGGTCACTTTAAATATCCACAATGGCCACCACTTGTAAACATTCAAGATGGCTGTGCCCTCGATCACTTTAAATATCCAAAATGACTGTCACTTGTAAACATTCAAAATGGCTGTGCCCTTTGTCACTTTAAATAGTCAAAATGGCTGCCATGTGTAAACAATCAAAATGGCTGCACCCTCTGGACTGCGGAAAGTCAACAGCTCAGGCTGTCTCCCTCCTTGCTGTTTCCCTTCCTAGTCATAGGCCACCAGTGCAGTCATCCCTGCAGCCCTTCGTGACTAGGGCTGATCTTTAGGTCAATTCTCAGTCCCAACACCACTTGGAAATATTCAGGCTGTTGGTCCTGTCAGAGTAGCTGACAGTCCACAGCTCCGACCATCTCTGTACTCAGTTTTCCTTCAGGTTTTTCCACTAGTTGGTGCCTAATCCACTTCTGTATAGTTCTTTTCAAAGCTCTGGGCTCCAGGATTATCTTCTGTATCTCTGTCAACTGGTTTTTCTTTGTTGATGAGTGTCACTTGTCTGATTATTCCTCCATCTTACCAGAAGTCCAGCAGAAAGGTTTTTTAAAAAATGTTAATACTGACTTTGAGGAAGGAAATCTGAGACCCACTGTGACCTGCTTTAACAAACCAGAGTTAAGCCAGTTTGACCCACAAAAATAGGAGGTAGTATTATTTAACCCATGGGACATATTGTGCCCACCTACATTTTCCTTCTCTGGGGTTTATTGGGCAGTTGCTTTCCACTGACTGTGCATGCAGCTGTCAGGAGAGAATCTGTATGCTTGAAAGAGAATAAATGGGCATATTGAATGAGGTGAGGCATCCTGG